TCACTCACTGGGAGCTTGCTACAGGTCACCCATTGCAAAGTCTTTTACACAAGCCCTTTGCAGTGGCTTTCAAGCCCTTTTATATCATATTCAGCCAAGAGCTGTCCTGGATCCGGCCTTCCCTACTACAGCTGGTTGAGAGCCGAATTTCAGACCTTCGGAGCAGGTCACCCTGCAGCGAGTTCCCAGGGAGAGACAAGGTGCATGTTCCCCTGCACGATACCCCAACGCTGGCATTTTAGGAGCCCACCAGCCCTACAGGTAACATCCAGCATAGGGTGGCGGGTCCTGCAGAGACTGGGGGATCCCCGCACCAGCCTGTCCCTGCATTACAGCAGCACTTTGGGCAGCAGCACCACAAGGAGGGAGAAGCCACTGCAGCTACCGGCAAGTACCTGCTTTCGTAAGACACAGATACTTTTTGTTTGGAAAACCGTGGGTAAAGCTTTCCCTCTTTCCTTTTATTTTAACCACTTTCAACTGCTGTTTCTGCACAGCGAGACCTTTCCTAAGTGATACAAGTTCAGCCAGACCAGCACAAAAACAGTGCTCCTGCAGTGGGAAGGAAAAACTCTCTGTATAAATGTTTATATATGTGTGTGTGTGGGTATACAGACACATACACATTCTGGAGCACCTCTGCACCCTGCTTCTGGCCGGGGACACAGGGCTTCATGTGGGAAGGGAGCTGGGACTGAGGCATCAGAGCTCCTGCTGCCAAGCGCAGCCCCGGGATCAGCTACCGAGACAATCAACAACAGATTTTTCCAGTGACACAACTTGGATCAGCACGCAACGCCTGGCACAGCCTCTGACAGTTGTTTCTGAGCCATCCTATGAACACACGCATTTCTCCAAGAGGCTGAGTCCAATTTTCCCGCTACTGAAATCGAACAAAAACCCCTTCATGACCTTATTCCCTTCAGCTAACACACACACACATATAACTTCCAGAGAGGAAAGACAGAAAATAGCATTATTAAAATTAAATCTTTGACTCATTTCCTTCGTTCCCTTTTTTTCACTACAAGCCAGCAAAGCTAAAACAACCTGAATTAATAATAATCTGAATCCACCCTCTTCAGGCCGCGAGAAACGTGGCATCCTCCTCCCGGGTGAGCAGCAAACCACCACTTGAGCAAGAGTAAGATAAACCGCCAGGATTGGCGTAGCCAGGCGGGAGGCAGATGGCACCGGAGGCGCCGGCATCATCTCCCATCCCTGGCGGGGGCAGCCGGAGCCCCCATCCCGGCCGGGAAGCAGCCAGGCCAGCCCCGCGGGACACAAGGGCCTTGTTCACTGATGGGGAGGAAGGCGCCAGCAGCGCCGGAGAAAGAGGATCTTGTTTCCAATGCCTTGTCCCGATGGTTTGATGGGCTATTTTCTTCTTTTCTTTTTTTTTTTTTTTTTTTTTTTTTTTTTTTTTTTTTTTTTTGAATTTAAGATATAAATAACATAACTGCAATTTCGCAGTTGAATGCGACACGGAATCAAAGGCTCCATGATGGGAAAGGAATTAAAAGGTTGCCGCTACCACATCTATTCCAGAAGACTCCTAAGCAATACAGGTAACTGTTCTTAGCTAAAAGCAGGTCACAGAACTCAATGATTCCAGGGAAAGGTGTAGACACACAAGAACAAAAAGGTCAGAAATAAGGAATTATGTTCAAGTAAGCCCAGCAAGTCGCCTAAGAGTGACCAAGTGGAAGAGCCAATCCAAGACGGGAAATAACCTGCAGGAGCCCGGAGAGGTAACACAACACTCTCACGTTCTGCAGAGGAAATCCTCAGTTAGACGCAGCGTTTGCTAACAGCAACAGCGCGTCAACTGTCACAGGTGATTCTGTTACCACTTCATGGTGAATACAAGGCAACTAAGAAAGTATCTAACTTCTTAACCAGCTTTTGGATGCCATTAAATAAAGACATTGAATTTTAGCTTTTATAAAGACACCCAAGCAGTAATCCAAAATTCTTCATCGGGAATAAAGTAGCAGCTATTAACAAGGAGCAGTAAAAGTTTCCACTTTCCCATGGTAGAAAAAAAAAATACTTCATAAAAAAGCAGGTTTAGGTGGTGACTCCTTCCCTATTAAATATTAGCCCAAATGAGGACTATGCCAAGCAAACTATTCATTTCTTCACGTCAGCCATGTATTACACAAACCAGAACAACTTGACATAAATCATTTCCAATATCACAGTGAGTAAAAGGTTAACAGTGCAAACAAAGTTGGAGGGTTTAGACATGTAGAGCCTCCCAGTGCTGCTTTTGCTGACCAACAACCTCTTCCCAAAGCAATTCGGCCTCTTGCAGAAGGCCTGGAACTGCGAAGAGAGACGAAGGGCAGGAGAAGCAGCAGGAAGCTGGATGACAAAACTCCGAGTACTCACGACAGAAAACACTACGAAGTAAAAAAAATAAATTCAAAAACGTTTTAAATCATAGACCATTGCTGCAGGGGTGCCAAAAGGAGCCTAGGTAGTATTGTGACTGGGTAGTGTTATGACTAGGTACTTGTAGGGGTGCCACAAGGATCCCAGGTGCTTTCTTTACCACGAACCAGAGGAAAAAAAATAATCTCAGGCTTAAGCCTCTTCTGATGTCCCAGCAGAATGTAAAACTGCTTCATTCAACTCCAGCAGCTATTAACAAAATAAAGCACGTCAAAATAAAGTACTATAAACAGACTACACGCACCCAGGCCTTCCGCTATCACGGTGATGGTCCAAGCACAGCACTGTTAGGATGTCAGCTTCATGGAAGCTGCACGTACCCACGGATGTCAGTGAAGGGAACATGCAGGACATAAAGGTCAGATTCCACAGGACGCACTTTACTGTGTCAGACTCCATGTACTTAAGAGAACAGAAAATGGTAGGACTGAGAAGTTAAAGGAAAAAGGAAAAAATAAATGACAAAAAGAGCAAACAGCTTCACCCTGCAGCCTCCCAAGAGGGCCGGCTTCTCGGTGGCCACCAGCACGGGCAGCCGCGATGCCCCGCGAGGCCACGGCACCCACGCACACGGGAAAGACGCTTCCGTGGGACCATGCCGGAGCACCCGCTCCCAGCGACAGCATCCAGGGAATTACACTCCGAACCAAGCGTGAGATTAGTTTCCCTGGCATAGCTTTCCCATAAATGCTTTCTTCTTCCCTATTAACACTAGGCTACCGACTTTTTGATTTATTTTTCCAGTGCACAGGAGTTGGCTTTTTGTTTTTACAATTAGAGGCAGTTATGACATTCTGCTCTGCAATAAATGAGCAAGTAATAGACAAACACATAAGCAAGGGATACCCATCAAAAGTTTTATAAAATAATAAAAAAAACCCCTAACTGCAGAGCACTAAAGGCCGTATTAAACTTCTTCCAAACATGGTAACGTGATCTTGGAAGAATTTAATTCTTAACACACAGACACTTTGTTGTAGAGAGGCATACAAGGCAACATTGATGCAGAAGTCAGAATCCCTACAAAACAGACCTGGAAATTTCTGTCTCTGAAAAGGGGAAAGGAAGGTTTAACGCCATCAGATTACTGGAAAAAAAAAAAAAAAAAAAAAAGAGGGTGAGACATAAGGTTATCAGCTATCATCTAATATTAATACATAATATGAGACAGTTTTGTTATTTTTGGAAGTGCTGCCTTAGTTCAATGTTAAACCACACGATTTATCTGGACCTTAAAAAGTATCCAGCAATGCCGAACGAATGGATTGATTGATTAGTTTGACACAAGGGTCAACTCTCTTCTCCAAATACACATGAAGACTGTATGTGGACCGCAGATATTAACTTATATTTAAATCTCCAAGTTTTTGCCCAAGTTTTTCAGTCAAACTTTTTTTTTTTCCCTCTTTAAACTAATATAAAAATACCCATTCCTAGCTTAGCAGAAACCCAACCAACCTACTCTTCTTGCCCACAAACATGAACACTGTTCGTCCTCCAAGGAAAAGGTTCCTTGGCATAACAAGGGGAAATACATTAAGGTCTGAAACACACAAAAGATTTTGGGTGTGTGTGAATGCATGCGATTCCTGATGTAACTCTAAAGGAAACTCTCCATATACAGTATGGACAAGAAGGTGCCACAGCTCAACAGTCTGTTTTCCAGAGGTCTAAAATGCAGAGTTCAAACTCCAAAGGAAATACGCAGTTTCACTGCTCTATATAAAATTACCTTTTGCAGAGAAAAATCACAGATCACATCAGTCTTCACAAGTTCCAACGTCTTCCCCCATATCCAAACCTGATCCCACAGATTAAGGCATAATTTGCACCATGACCAGACTAAAGAATACAGACCCGGCCAAATAAAAGTTTAAAGTGCTAGATAAACACAGATTCAATGAGATTAGACACACTGCATTCTGCAGGCAGTTTTCAGCAAACAGATTCAAGACTCATCATGCCTACAGCATCCTTTCCTTCAGGAAAAAAGATCAGAGGAAGCAATACACCACTCTGTCCATAAGATGCAAACGTCTGATACAGAAAGGTTTATGTATGCCTAAAAATACAAACCTCAAACCAAGTAGTAAATTAGGAGCCCATTTTTAAACAGTTATGGTTTCTAAGATGTTATTCTTAGAATTATTCTCCTGTTCGAAAGTAACAAGACTCCAACTATGGCTACCTGTGTCTGTTTATGTAGTACTTGCTTTTATAAGCAGCACAGCAATGTACAGAAAGTTAACAAATATTCAAAATCATGATTACAACTTTTGCTTTCAGCCTTCTTACCTAACAATTAGCTTGGCATTAAATCCACTGGCCCAACAAAGCCTGTGTTGATTGTCACATAAAGAACTGCCAAAGCAAGATGGTTCAGCAACATGACACTGCTTGCCTGCAAAGTCATTACCAAGTGACAATTCCACATTAAAGTCAGCAACTTGCTCCACATAATTAAAATACAGCTTCAATGCTGTACTTTAGGAGACAGGCCCATGTTTAAAGCAATGCTACCTGCAGATGAAAATGGCACCTACTGAGGGCACACACGATGGAGAAAACAGGAGTCCAAGCGAACAAGATGAATCGTTAACCTGCAATTAAAGCAGAGGGAAAACAAAATAAACCTAGTCTAGTTCAAGAAACTGCTGTCCAGAGACATTACGGTGCTGGATGTTGTTATTAAATGGAGCTGAAATGGAATTCAAGGAGTAGAGAAAACACTGAGCTATGAAGGAGAGACGTCAGCATCGAAAAGGACATCGTGTAACAGGTCTCCTACACTGAAGCCCTCAGCAATTCCATCCTAAAACTCAGAGGGAGGAAAGGGGGAAGAGAAAAAGATAACCTGACAGCCTGTCATCATGGAGATTTTAATCTCATGCTTCGGGGAGAGGCGTGGAATTAAAAATAATTTTCTTCTTCAGTGACTGCCAAGCACTACGACCTACAACTCTATACCAAATAACAGCTGAAAGACAGCCAATATTCAGGAAATATTTTCTATCAGCTGAAAGAAACTGTCACTTCAGTCATATTCCCCAACTCTAATTTGCTGCCACTGTTTTCATGCCCTGGCAAATTGCGCTGGGTTTTACCCATGTTCTCGCTGGCTGGACCAGCCAGGGCAGCCGCTGCCTCTGTGGGGCTGCCCAACCTGCCCCAGGGCCGTGCAATGAAGAGGGGCCACGGGGCAGCCGGCGACGGGACCCCGAGCTCGCGACGGGACCCCGAGCCGGCGCCGCTCGGTGGACACCGTGCGTCAGCAACGGGAACAGCGGGAGTGGCAGCCAGGATGATTAAGGGAATGGAACATCTCTCGTATGAAGAGAGGCTGAGTGAGCTGGGCCTGTTTTCTCTGGAGAAGAGACGGCTCAGAGGGGATATGATTAATATGTATAAGTTCAGGAAGGGAGAATGCAGGGAGGAAGGGGACAAGCTGTTTTCACTGGTGGCCAGCGATAGGACGAGGCGTAATGGCCACAAGCTGGAGCATAGGAAGTTCCGTCTCCAGGTGAGGAGGAACTTCTTTACTGTTAGGGTAACAGAGCAGTGGAACAGGCTGCCCAGGGAGGCTGTGGAGTCTCCTACTCTGGAGGTCTTCAAAACCCGCCTGGATGCCACCCTGTGCCACATGCTGTAGGTGTGCCTGCTTGAGCAGGAAGGTTGGACTGGATGATCTATAGAGGTCCCTTCCAACCTTAAATATTCTGTGATTCTGTGAGTGGAGCAGGCAGAATCCAGGCTGAGCCGGGCTTGCTGGCTCTGCCCGGGGAAGCAGCACACGTCTCGCACAAGATGATTCAGACCCCTTGGACTGTGTAAAACACACCACTACTGCACTTCAGATCAGGCAAGAGAGCAGCAGATGACTCAGGACCTGGATGTCTGCACATGTGCTCACTCACAGCAAGGCACCGCACACTGCGACTGTGGCAGAGCACCACAGTGGGGCGAAAGCCAACCCCGTTCCTAATCACAGCGGGGCGAAAGCCAACCCCGTTCCTAATCACAGCGGGGCGAAAGCCAACCCCGTTCCTAATCACAGTGGGGCGAAAGCCAACCCCGTTCCTAATCACAGCGGGGCGAAAGCCAACCCCATTTCTGCACTGGACCCGCCAGGTGAGGCGAGACGAGACCGCCGTGCCGGCCGACGCCGCCCACACGGCTCGGGGCTCAGCCCACGCTCAGCTCCAAGCCCGGTGTGGGTCCGGCTCAGAACACGTCGTGGTCTCCACGGCCCCTGCCCGGCACACACGGGCCCCACACAGGCCCCATGCACGGCAGTCCCTGCTGGCAGGGCCTGGACCCGTGTCGCACGAGACGACGGAGCCGCCAGCACAGCCGGGCCTGGTTCGGCCTGGGCGCCGTGGTGTCGGCACCAACTCGCAGGGACCACGGCCCCGGTCTCGGCACGGGGTCGATGGCAATCGCGTCGCTGCCAGCGCCACCGGGCCGGCCCTCGCGGGGTGTCGTGGACACAGGGAGACTGACCCCGAGGCAGCCGGCACCCGCTGGGGTCGTTGAGGCAAAGCGGCCGGGTCCCATTGGCAGCCGACACATCAAAACACTGCAGAAACCTTAGGAAACATCTCTTCTCTTCACACTACGGGCTGTCTAGATGCACAGTGCTGATAAAGATGAAGGACTAACTAGGGACATAAAGCTAAGAGCTTGGACTATCTCCTCTGGAAACCAACCTCAGCACAGCATACAGATGGCAAATCAGGACCATGAAATGCTTAGGGAAATAAAAATACTGCGAGATCCTGTATCCATATCTCAATTTGTAATTATCTCTCGGTAATACGCACACAGGATTATAAGGGTGTTTTTTTTTTTTTTTTTAAATGAAGCCTCCAGTTTGTGGACCAGATCCAAGGGCTAGTTTCTATGCATTCCTGAGGGAGAAAGGGCTATAGAAAAGCCTTTTATTTCTGCCTGTATTTCCCAGAAGGCCTAACTAATGCAAAGGGAATGTACTGGGATCCTTGCATTGGGGGAGGGCAGGAAGGGATTAGCGTGTTCCACCGGCACCGCGAGCAGCTAAACGGGAGCACTCTGGTGAGGAGACAGCTACCGCGTCCTATTCCGCGCAGCAGCCCCTTGGGTACTCACCAAGGCAAGCTGCGCCCAAAGGCAGGGCCTATTTCACAGAAAGCTGTTTCTTGAAAGGCGACCCTTGAGACTGCACACGAGACCCCTGCACCTTCACCCCCCCTGGCCAGCACTGGCACCCACCAAGGCCGCCCCTGGGGCACAGGGACACGCAGCGCCAACCCCAAAGCTGGCCCAGGGCGCACAGCAGCAGCCCAATCACTCCTAGTCGGCTCCTCTGCTTCCAAGGCTGCCAGGCACGGAACATTCCAGCCTAACGAGCGCTGGTTTGCAAAGGAATATTCACTCCTCGGCTCTCTTCTTAAGTTTACTTAAGAAGTGATTTACTAGGCTTCCAGCCTTGACTCCTTCAGTGCTTGTATGTCAGAATACTTTTTCTATAGTAAATATCCCAATGCTCGAGGTAAAAGCACTTCCATTAGGAACTCCTTCCCCACAATCATACATCACTCCCTGTTACTAAAGCAAATCTCATAAAAAGCTGAATAAAGGCTATTGTTCCAACACAAAGACCTTGGCAATTGGATTTACTTTATTGCCAAGGTCCATCCACAGGCAATGCCTCCGGGCAGCGTCAGCGCGACCTCAGGTCCCCAGGGACCCCCACGGCAGCAGCCGCATCCTGCTGTGCCGGGCACCGGGGAAGCCACCGCTGCCACCGCAGGACACTGGCTGCACAAGGGGCACATCCCTGCCCTGCGGCCCCAGGAGGGTTTCACAGGATCACAGAGTGCCTGAGGCTGGAAGGACCTCTAGAGATCATCTAGTCCAACCTTCCTGCTCCAGCAGGGACACCCAGAGCACAGGGCGGCATCCAGGCGGGTTGGGAAGATCTCCAGAGAAGGAGACTCCACAACCCCCCTGGGCAGCCTGTGCCAGGGCTCTGTCACCCTCACAGGAAAGAAGTTCCTCCTCACATGGAGAAGGAGCTGCCTGTGTTTCGGCTTACACCCACTGCCCCTTGTGCTGTCACTGGACACCACCGAGAAGAACTTGGCCCCTTCCTTGCACAGGAACACACAGGAGCGCAGACGGCCCAGGGAACAGGCCAGGCTTGATGGAGGGAAGGCTGCTTTCACCTGCACCAGACCGCACGGCTCCAGCCCACACGCTACCCTGCGCTCACTAACCTGCAATTAAAAGGCAACATGAAGTTTAATTTCAGTTTTGCTGCACTTGCTGGTTCAGAAATTCCTACTCCACCTGTACTTAAACACTGTTTTCATCTTTCAATACAGGTCCCGGCTCACGCTAGGTAAAAATAAAATCCTTCCTGTGGTTATTAGGCATTAGTTACAGTGCAAAGTGCCTAGGTTTTCTTTTTAACTAGTCCATTCAATAACATGATCCCAGCTCTCCCTTCAGTCCCCTTGCAGAAAGTTAAAAGCAGAAAAATTAACTATTTACTTAAAACCAAACAATCAGGTTCATTTTTCTAGGTCTGTGCTTTTAGATGACGAGTTATTCGGGATTATATTTAAAACATTTAGCAAGTCAACAAAAAAACAACCAAGCTTTACTTACAACTAATTCTGCCCAGACACCAAGTCTTTCTTATGATCTCCTTTTACAATTCTTGAAGACTTTCAACTTTGCAATACCATTTTCTAGAACAGTAGTAATACAAATGGTGGACATTTGCACAGAATGTACAGATCAATGCTTTTAATAGTAGACTGCTTCCTGAAGGGGGAAAAAAAAGTACTTAGTGAAGTATAAACAGAGAGAGAGAGAATTTATCAGAGTACTATTCACAGACGATGGTGCTATTGAATAACACCATGTTTATTTAATAAAGCTCTGAAATGACCCAGTATCCAGAAACTGGAGAGAAACAAAGGTGGAAATAAGCAGATTTTAAAGGTGAAGAGGAACTAACGGTCACAAATAAGATGACATGGAGCCTTTGCAATCTCTAGAAATGTTAAAATGAGGAGGGATCCTTTTTCTGAAAGGCGAAAAAAAAAAGATGAGAGCACAAATTCCTGGGCTGACACGGAATTTCACCCAGTAATTCCAAAATCCATGTTACACAGGGGTTAAAGCAACGTCCTTATTTCAGCATGCTTTTCTCCAGCGGCAGGACTGGGTTACTTTTCCATGTTTTTTTCCGGGGTTATGTTTCCGCTGGGACTGTGTTTTCTCTATGCAGCATCACAACCTGCTGTCCCAGGCCTGAGAGGAGGCACAGGGCTGCCGGCTTCTGCAAAACTCTCTACACAACTCAGCTGGTTTCCCAGAGGCTTTCTCAACCCTCTTAAGTTTTCATTTTTGCGCAGAACATTGCTAAGATGTGTGAACTGCAAGACCCAGAAGCAATGGAAGTTGTAGCTGAGCTGCAACAGTAGTATGCAAGTCCCTCCTATACAGCCCTTATTTAGGGCAGCAACCCACTCAATTTCCTACCTCTGCAAATACTACTGCTTCTCCAAGTGCTACTAT